GATCAATAGAATTTAAGTGAATTAGCAAATATGAATTTGTATAGCTGATAAATTATAGTTTGAACATACAGTCAAATCTCTCTATAGTCACCACCCTCAGGAAAGCAAAATTTGGTGACTATAGAGAGAATGTGACTATAGAGAGGTTTTTTTACTATGTTTATATATAAATAGAAAAGCAAAATAAGATAACTATAGAGGAGTGTGACTATAAATAGATGTGATTATAGAAAGATTTGATTATAATATAAATTTAATTTATAATAAAGAACTATCTTAAATAAAATTAATTAAATTTATAATAATTATTATTCATTATCAAATACTATATTATAAATAAATACTAAACTAATGTGTTAACAAGTAACTAAATAATATATAATATATAATATATAATATATTATAATGATAATAAATAAATAAAATTTATATATTAATTAATTCACATAATATTTTATAAAAATATTCAATACTTTTTATATCTTTCTGTAATTTATTTAAATTATATTGCTATATATTACTTTATAAAATATTTTATTGTAATTACTTTCAATTATTTGCTCAAATCCTAATAATACATTATAAATAAAACCATATTAATTCATCTAAATGGTAAATTTTTTTATTATTTCATGAAAATTGATTAAAAACATATAAAAATTTAAATATATATATTTTAATATATTGTAAACAAGTTTTTTTAGGCAACTTGGTAGCTTAAAGTATTAAAAAGAAAAATTTTTAATTAAATTTATAGTATTATATTAAATTAAAATCAAATATTTGAGAATAATAGAAATAAGATATGTTAATAAATAATCTTAAGAAAACTTGTTTGCAATATATTAAATTATATATCTGTAAATTTTTATATATTTTCAAGCAGTTTTTATAATGCAAAAATAAAAAACGGTGTATTTTTCTCATTATATATAATAATGATTTGATGGGAACTATTGTTAAATATATAATAAAAAAGTATCATTCTTATAGACATGTTCTAAAAAATATTTTACTTAGTTTAAATTCTATATTAAATTAATATTTTTTAATTGACAAGTTTTGTAAGCTATTTAATTTTTTAAATGAATATAGAATTGTAGATTATATCATAAATATTCATTTTATGTTATTAGATTCTCAATTGATACTATAGAAATTTAGTAATAGGCTTTAATGTAATATATAAAAAACTGTGAGACTAGATGGCGTGCACCGTACCGTTTAGCACTGTATATAGTATCCCCAATAATAATATTCCCCATGATTATGTAGACACTATATAAAGTTCTCTATACAATATATTCTCTAAATATAATACTATCTGTAGAATATACGTATATTACTCCACATATAATATTTGTCGGGTACTATTCAATTTATAAACTACAACTTTCGATAAGACCCTGGATATTATATACAGTGTTAAACGGTACATGTATTGGACGCATTGTGGTATAACGATAAGTTAAATCTTTACAAGGTGAAAGTGTAAATGGTTTACATGAGATATTAGAAAACGTGATTTATTGCAGATCCATCAAAAATGACACACCTGACCTTGTTGACACTAACGAAAATCAAGTGATTTGCGTATTGCCATACATTATAGTGGTAGCACAATGCTCACTGTGTCTAATATAATCATCGGTAACGTTAATCAATCTCAATTCATCACAATTATGATAAATCACAATCATAAATTGGTAACCCAAAACGAAGAAATTTATCTCTCTCAAACATCATCAGCAATAAATATTTCTTCCGAAGATGATAATTTATCAGAGCAAAATCGTCATCGCCGTAGTCCTACTCCTTGGTATTGTAACGGTTGTATAATAACAAAAGTAAGATTTATTTCTTAAATTTAAATTTTCCTTTCAACAAATAAACTAAAACTAAAATTTCTCATGATATCGATACATAAGATTATCATATTTATAGTGATTTTGTTTTGGAGTATAATTGTAATTTGGCAAGTTTTTCAAATCAAAGGCGACTATTAACTAGTAGATCTTTTAACAATAAGACCTGGCCAAATTTCTTAATGTCTACCAAAAATCCTATGTTACTTTGGAAATTCCTTTCCAACCGATTTTAAATTTAATTGAAAAAACCGCCTTCTTAATATACACGTACATACCTTTAAGGCATAATTCCAACTTGTATCACAGATGAACATCAATAAAGGATTATTCATATCTTAAGCTTTTACCAACCAGTACGAAGCTCTCCAGTTATCATCCAACTAGCTTTAGAGACCATTATTTGGTATTGAGGTGACTCTACAATAGGTTAAACAAAGATTTACCCAGATCAATCTTTCTAGGACAGAGTGTAAACGCCAAAAAGAAAGAGGGCACTAACTCGCTACTTAACCCTCTAGTAAAACTTAAGGTGTAACTTCAATTTGTGAGAAATGTGAATTTTCTAGTTATCTAAGGTCTATCATGGAAACCCAATTAAAAAAACCAAATTCCTTCGACTATCTAAACACAAAAGCTTTTATAGAAACTCAAATATTTCTTCTCTCTAAAGAATTTGAACCTTCCTCTCGTTGGTTTTCCGCAAAGACAAGTATTATCGAGGAAAAAATACCACCCAACGTTATTAATGAAGTTGTTCTCGCAGGTAAAATAGAGTTGTGTCTTAACTACCTTTTAATTCTCTCTTATTATTATTTGTTACTTTTTTCTTTTAATAGTGAATATTAGTGTTCGGAAACAGTGTTCAGAAACTTTTAATCAACAGGCAGTTAATCATTTACTTGAGCAAATATTTTTACTGCATGGAGAACGAGGACGTGAAGAAGTAGCTTCTCAAATAAACATAGATATTACAGAAACAACTTCTTTCGGTGTTTCTACGTGAGTTTTCTTTATTTTTTATTCAATTCAATGAAAATTATTAAATCTTAATAGATGTATTCTCAGATGGATCCTATCTTTACCTGAAGAATGGCCAGCACACAATGATCATTCCCCGGAAATAATTGAACGGTAAAATGTTTTATCACACAGCTTTTATGCAATGCTAATACGATCAAATATATATATATTGCATTTTTAAAGACATTCAAAACATCGTCTCAATCTGGTTAATCTTCATAAAAAAATAATGGAAACAAAACAAAAATATGAATATTTGAAGGTAAGTAAGAATGTTTTTAGAAGATAAATGATCACAAATCTATGATAATAAGCGTTAATTTATATTAGCACCTACGAGAACAATTAAGTCCATTATATAATACACATGCTATTCAACAAAATCTAGTTGATCGAAAAGGATCTGTGGCTACTGAACTAAATAAAATGCTCGTGTTAAGTATGTTCATATAAATTCTATGATCGGGTTTTGTGACAAGAGACGTTGATAGTAATAACGTAATTTTTAGTGCCTAAATTGTTAATGACAATAGAGAAAAATAAAAATTTTCTTATGCGAAAACGTCCCGAAATTAGTTTTCCATCGTTGGGAAGTAAGTAAATCTGTGAAAAGTAATGATAATTAGATGATGATCACTATTATTAATCATATAGAATGATTGATAGGTTTAGAAGACGAGTCTAAAAATGACACGACTATTATAGTGAAAGGGATAATTAAGGACTCTGGTAAGATCAGACAATTTTGATTTTTCTTAAAGTTATCAATATTAATCAGATGATTATTCCATGTTTCTAGATTAAACAGGTAAGGGTTCTATGTGATTAATTTGTAAATATAATTTAAAATTGAGGTGTCAAACAAATGCATATTAACCGCCAAAGTCAGAAATTAATTAATCATTTAATTTTCGATAAAGAAATGCTAAATAATAAATCTTGCGGATTGGTGATTTTCCTGTGACATTTGCGTCATAATATTTCGTCATAGGAATCAATATAAGAAAGATCAGACTAATGTTCATTAGTTATCGTTATCATTAGTTAATCGTATAGTATCCTAAAATGATGTCATAGAGCATAGAATCCACCTACTGTTGTAGTTCCACTGTCTTAGAAACACGCAAAGTAATGTCTAGACCATCAATTTTCAACCCTTGCGTAAAAATACTGGGACTTGCAACCAGCAGTCGCATTTAAATCTTTTTTCCATTCACCAAAATAATGACCGCCACACCAACTCCTACAAATTCTGTATGCTCTTCCGAGGTTAATTGACGTTTAATGTGTTATTTTGACAAACAAGTCGAAAAATTTATTTTGATAAACTGATAAAATATTAAAATATATAGGACGAAGAGACCAAAATTACTCCTTCTACTACTACCAATACCCCCAAGGGTACTATTTTTCTTAGTACAAAATCTTCAGACCTTATTGAGCATGAAGTCTTTGATCAGCTATTAGAAATGGACGATGACGACGATGATTTTTCAAAGTCCATAGTATTGAATTACTTTGCCCAGGCTGAATCTACTTTTGGTGATATGGATAAAGCTTTGTATGTTTCTTGAATTGAAATTCAATTCGATCTCTTATGTTTTAAAGCAACGTAATATTGAATTGAAATTGCTTATATTAAATAATTTTGTGAAAAATAATAATATAATTGAATGAACAATTTTTATAGGAAATCAAAGGACCTCAATAAGTTGTCTCAACTTGGTCATTTCTTAAAGGGTAGTTCAGCAGCAATTGGTCTAACAAAAGTAAAAGAATCATGTGAGAAAATACAACATTATGGCAATCTAAAAGAAGAAACAGGAACAATAAGCATCTCTGAAGAATTAGCATTGCGGAAAATTGAACCTTTATTGAAAGGCGTAAAAGAAGAATACGAAGAAGCAGAAGAATATCTCAGAAGATTCTATAGAGAACGAGAAACGTCAAATTCATCTTAATAAACGCAAAAGATTAACGGGAAGTATATACAATCGGTTTCGCTGATTATCTGGCTGTGCATGAGAATTTAGCGTTATTCAATTTTTTTTTCTTGATTTTTTTTCTTGAGCTAATTTCCCAAGTAATTAATTGAATTCCAAACTATTGTCTTATTATTGGATCAAGCCTGGTGTCTTGTTTCATTTTTATTCTCTTATTGTCTTTTTGACATTATTACCTTCTTTTACCTATTCAAGACATACATTATATATATACAGCTCATATATAATATCTATTTAACATGACACGTAGAAATAATTGTAATGGCAAAATAAAAAAACTAAGATTATTAATAATATTGAGATTCAAAAATTAAACTTACCCTTGAAACGTGTATATGTTGTGTTTATATAATATATGGAGATCCGAAATCTCGTTTTGGGTCGCGTCATGATGTGATCTCGATCCGGTCAAGTAGAATCAGAATGTTTTTGACCAATTTTTAAACATATATATATAACAAACCCAACTTCAGTTTAACCGGATTTAATTAGTACTTCATTTATATCCATGTTTGACTGTATTATTCTTCTCTATTAACATATATATTATTTTTATATTTTCCTTTGCAATTATACTGAATTTTCATAATTGATCCAAACAATTTCTGCTTTGAATAATCATATACTTTTAGTATTATTAATTCATTAACTAAGAAAGCGATTTCAATTACTTTATTTTTTTATGTTGCAATTGATATATATTATTATATTTAGATAATTTTTCATGAAACAGAGCAGTAATCAGTATTAGTTCAATTAATTTTGAGAATTGCAATGCATCTAATCCTTGTTTGCATTTTACTTTAATATTTTTTAAGTAATTTATTTGCTTATTGTTTTTTTATTTTTATTAGATTTCAATTTATAATAAAAAATAATATAAATTACTCAATTTTATAGCTTTTTCAATGGATAAAAAATCATCGAAGTATAATATGTATCAATATAAAAAATGTGATATTCAGAATATTTGGAACAGAATAATTGTCACCATTAAAAAACAACTACTCAGTAATTAATGTGGTGAAATAAAAAATAATCCAAAAATAAAAATCACTTTTGAGTGAAATAAAAAGATTTGTTATTATTATTCAAATATAATTTAATTTTTAAAATAATTCACTCATTTAATGAAATAATTTACTTATTTAATAAAATAATTAAGCTTTTTATTGGATCACAATAATTGTAAGGAATAATTTCTTAGAGACTTTGATCCCTAAACTAATCAATATACATTGTATATATGTGATATAATATACTAATCAATATACATTGTATATATGTAATATAATATTAAATATTAAATTACAGCTCAAAAGAAATTACAGTTAATGAAAAATGATTAAAAAGACACATGGATAAATATATTATAAGATCTTGTTGACAATTAATATATAGTTAAATCTCTCTATAATTATTATCCTTGAAAAAACAAACTTTGGTGATTATAAAGAAAATGTAACTATAGAAAAATTTTTTACTATGTTTATATATAAATAAAAAAGTAAAATAAGATAACTATAAAGAGATATAATTATAAATAAGTATAACTATAAAGAGATTTGACTGTATACTTTTATTTATAATATTAATTCAAATTAATTATAACATAATTTTGTAAAAAAAAACTCATCAATTAATTCAGCTCAATTAATTTTAGATGAGAAAATAAGTAGTAAATTATTTAAATCTAATGAAATAGAATATATTAAATATCATATTATATATTAAATCAAAAACTAATACTTAATAATATTTAATATTAAATATATTAGTTTTTATATATTTTATTGAACAATTCATATCATAATATTATTAGATAATATTTATTAATATCTTATTAAACACTAACTAAAAAAGATCTTATTTGTTAATATTAAATAATAAAATAGACAATATGATTATAGCAAAATAATTCTAGTAAAAATAGCACATGAATTATAATATTATCAATTTCATTAAAAATTTCATACTAAAATTATCTATTTTTTATAAAAATTGTTAATGAAGTTGTTATTTGACATATTCTCTATATATACTTCTTATTTAAATATGTTTTTAATATCTTTTTTAGTTTATCTTATATTAGATATATTTTCAAGAAAAAAAATCTTTTTATAATATTATTGAACTTTATTTGTTAATATGATAGAAATCAATTTAATTCACTTTTAATATTGCTTTTATCTCTTATAATATACTTTTAACTTTAACTTATAATATATATTTATTTTTAGTATTATTTTATTATCACTTAAATATATTTTATATTTATATTCTTGTTAATTTATTATTATTAATTATTTATTATTATTTATTATATCACTTTTATTTAAAATTTATTGTGAACACAGTCACTAATAGTTATTTCTAAATATTTTCATATATAAGAACTAGAAATAGTAACAATATATTATTATTATATATTAGATTTTCAGATATTTTTAAAAAATTTAAAAAATAATTAATTTATTTTTTATAAATTTTAATAAATTAATAAAAATTAAAGATATTTACTTTTTAATTTATAATTTTATATAATAATTATACAATAGAATCAATTAGTTAATAATAAATATTAATTTATAAATTTTATATTGTTATGATATGAATATTTAGTTCTTATTTTATTGGTTAATTCATATCATAAATTTAATTGGATAATA